AAAATAAGTTTTAAAATCAGGTAGAGAAAAATAAACTCAAAACGGTATTTAACCAGAGGGTGTAAATTACTTTTCAATAAAGAAATAAAAGACTTGTTTGCTGTTCTGAATTAAAAGTGAAACGACGGCTATTCACTCGCAGAATGTTCTTGTATGCTTAAGAAGATGAGTCAAAGTAAAAGTGTACCAAAATTAAAGAAAATTTACCAAATTCATACAATTCTATCGTAGTCTACTTATTTATCTGAGGCTTTGTAAACACAAAATAGACTCCAGGTGAACATAGACAAGACGGAGGTCATGAAAATAACCAACCAACAACAACAACAGCAGCAGCAACATCCAACGCCAATCACCATCAACCGGAGGGATTTGAAAGAGGTTACTTCATTCACTTCACTTATCTAGGGAGCATTGTCTCAACTACAGGTACATGGAACGGACGACGATGTCAAATCGAGACGAGAATCGGGAAGGCGACAAACACAGTCATCAACCTGAAACCAATCTGGAAATCTTCCGCTGTCACAGCCTGCATCAACAACAAAATTCGGATTTTCAATACAAAAGTCAAGTCAGTCAGTTCTTCTATACGGATGGATCAGAAACGTGGCGGCGGGTCACAAAGAATGAGTATTTCCAACAGCCTGTTGCAGACCTTTATCAACAACTGTCTTCGCTCTCTCTATACTGAAGATCAGATGGTCGGAAAGAATCACCAACAACAAGAAACTATGGGAACAAACGAAACAAGAACCAATCGCCCAACAAATATGCAGGAGAAAGTGGAGATGGGTTGGACACTCATTGGCTGAGGAGGCCACTCGCTGGGTGACATCGCTCGTCAGGCCAGTGCTCGAGTGGAACCCGAGAGGGAAGCGGCGAGTGGGACTTCAGTGGAAGGGTGACTTGGAGGTGATCGTGTGAAGAGGAGTTGAAACAGTCTGGACTAACATGGATGCAGGTGAAAAGTACAGCAGAAGACAGAAGCAAGTGGAGATGTGCAGTTGAAGCCCTATGTTCCACTAGGAACCCAAGGGAACAATAATTATATAATAATAATAAACACAAAATAAGTATAAAATAATAAATGAGTATATTTATGTAAGGCCTCGTGTTTTCAGCACTGTACGCCATAAGCCTAATCTCAGGTCAAAATGACTGCGATCACCGTTTTCTGGTGAGCTGTATCAGACGACCAAGATATTTATCATTTGACCAATTCATGAGCCATTGGATCGGGTTCCAGTGGCTTAATGGTCTACGATCTAGCTCGCCTTGTAACCAGAAGGTCCAGGGTTCGAACACAGGTGGTGGGTGCGTACTGATGAAGAATCTCAAAGTAGGACGAAACAGCTGTCCAGTACTCCCAGGTTTACCAGTGGTTCTCTAATTGATGTCAGCGCATGATGAAATCCTCCATGAAATCAATTCATAATAAAACATGCAGTTTAGCGAAGAGTCTTTTTTCGGCGAATTCATTTTTTAAAAGTACAATCGTAAATTGGGTGTTAATCAAACCAGGCTAGTAACAAAGGTAATGAGATGTCAGAAACAGTTGTTATAAAGGAGTTATGTGATAATATGAATAGTTGTACTCAAACTTAGTGTACACATACATACAAAATAACCTGCGATTGTACCACTACGAAAATGTATTCACCGAAAAAAAGAGACTCTTCGCTGAACTACGTGTTTTATTTTCATCAATTCATAATACACACACCATAAGCATTTCCAAGAGACCATTGACAATGGTGTATCATCTCTCGTCAAAACTAACTGACTTTAAACTCTACAAACTTATCACAATCAAATAATATAGAGTGTAGTTATATTTTTTTTAGGTTTCAGTAGTATGAAGATATACATAAATTAATTATTTTCTGAGAGTTGGTCAGTTAGGATTAGATTTCGTTTTACTAGTTTGACCATGGATTAATATCAGTTAGAGAACCATTGAAAACCAGCACTGGATTACTGCCAAACAGTTGTTTCACCCTAGTTTTTTAGGAATCATCAACAGTACGCACCCATCACAAGAGGTTCGGATCCAGGACCTTCCGGTTACAAGATAAGCAATCTCAAATACCACTCAGCCACTGGGTCCCGATTCCTCAATGTCCAGCCAGCCCATGAATTCTAACTTATACCAATTCGTGATGCATTTAGCTCGATAACCAACCAATGTCATCGGTGAGACATCCATCCTCATACTTGACTGGATGGACCTCACTAGCGAGCATGAGATTAATTTTCAAGAGTTGGTTTGTAAGGATTAGAGCTTGCCTTGTAACCCGAAGGTCCTAGGTTCGCCCCCCTTGGTGGGTGCGTACTGCCGATGATTCCCAAACTAGGACGAAACAGCTTTCCAGTACTCCCTGGTTTTCAGTGGTTCTCTAACTGATATCAATCCGTGGTCAAATTCGTAAAAAAAAATTATTAAACAAAAACTGGAAAATTGAAATCCATACTAACGTAGGACTTCTTAGCAAATGATCATAAAGTTGACACACTAATACACATACATACTGAGTTTTTTCTAAATTAACTTATCTAATCAGGGTATGCTAAAAAAGCGGTGAAAGACACGACCATATCATTCATGAGCTTTTCGTTGAAAAGTAAAAACTTGAAAAAGTTGTGAATAAGTCACTTTCACTAGAAGTACGCCATCACTATCCATCTTATCTCACAAAGGGAAAGACAATATTACCATAAAATTCAGTAACACTATATAATTAACTAGATCCCATTATCTGATCTCTAAAAGAATATTTCGTTTGACTTTTTACATTAAGAAGTTAAGGCACTCAGGCATAACCCAACCACTCCTCTTACAGTTTGTCAACTCGTGTATTTTACCTATTTTTCTTTACTCTTCACCATTATTCTTTCCTGGATTGCTAAAAAAGGACTATGTCATACTTCGTAGAACTCTGAAGACTGTCAGTAGGGCGAGTGGTATCCCGTTGGGCCATGTCGTTGGCATTGTCACCGATAGGCATTTGATGTCATGCAACAGATTCGCTAAAGGAATTTTGTCAGACTCTGAGCACCCACTCTACCCGCAGCTCCAACCTTGTGTCTCCTCAGGTAAAACAAGAAGTCTTTTCAGAAGACTTTAGGCACGTACGTCTAAGTATAAAAATTCCACTATACCATATTTAGCACGTACTTTATGTGATGAAAATAGTGTCAGGCATGAACAAACAAACCTTATTAGCACCACTAAATAGACCATTTCCTTCAACCTTAAAGCATCAAACTTTATTGTTCTTGTATTTCTTATATTTAAAATCCTCTCAATTTTTTCGTTTTGTTTATTTTTTTCATAAGTGTGGACATAATTTTAAGCTGTATTATGAGTGTTAACTTTGTATTTCACCTCACTGTACCATATCAACAGAACATTAGACCCAATTATCCATAACATGCTAAAGTTTCCAAACTGAATCGACAATACCGTCTGAAACAAACTCACTGTTATTATTATTATATCTAATAATTATGTAGTAAATGTGGACAAATTCCTCCGATTAATTTTTGTTTTAATTTTTAATTTTATATACATTTTGAGTAAATCAGATGCAATATTGTGACAAATACTGAGAATTCCATTCTGTATTATAAGTACTGTTTTTGGAATAAAGTAAATTATTATTATTATCATTATTATTATTATTGTTATTGTTATTATTAAGAGAGATCGTTATGAAAAAGCCAGGAAATAAACGTGACATAACGTTTAGGATGAGGATTTATATCGGCCGGTCGGTCGGTTTTCGACATAGAACTTTGCACATATGTGCGGAAGTTCAAGTCGCCACACTCCCCCTTTGTAACACACAAAGCAAGAGAAGAAAGTAGGAAAAATGCCTATTAGAGACAGTAAACAGAGGTGTGAGACATGGGTACAGTAATAACGAAGAACAAAACAGTTTAATTGGAAATCATAAGTCACAAGGAGTGGATGCATCTGCATCAGTCATTGAGAACGATGAGTTTGAGCCATGTCACCAATTGTTTCCAACCATTGGTTTTTACCGTCCCGAGGACCCCAACCAGGAATTCTACACCTTCCTACGTGGCTTAGACTAACTGTTGTGGATTTCATTGACTGGTACCATGTTTTCGTTTGACCACCGCTAGCTCTTTTCCAGCCTGGCCCTATATCCCCCACCGCTATCTTATTTACAAGCCCGTTATTGATCTTCATTGTATTGTTGACCTCATCTTCTTTGCCTAAACCTCACTGAACTGGTTAGGCTAGTAGCAAGTACTTTTAAGCCTTGATTCAGTTCTGACGACTCCTTTTCATTTTATCCAACCTTGGATTTAAACACTAAACAAATTAAGTTTTCAAGTATTGGTTTGTAGGGATTTTATTTATTGGTTACAGGATTTCATCATGAGCCGACATTAGTTAGAGAACCATTAGAAAACCTGGGAGTACTGGAGAACTGTTTTGTCCTAGTTTGGAATTCTTCAGTAGAACGGCTAGGGGTCGCGCTATGTCATGAATTGGCAGAAGTTAGAACTCATGAACCATTGGATCCGGTCCCAGTGGCTTAATATCATACGAGCTCTCCTTGTAACCAGAAGGTCCTGGGTTCGAACCTTGGCGGGTGCGTACTGATGAAGGGTACCAAACTAGGACGAAACAGCTATCCAGTACTCCAAGGTTTTCCAATGGTTCTCTAAGTAACGTCAGCTCATGATAAAATTAAGTTTTATTCCATCTATAGCCTGTAATATTTGACATGAAAAATTCCAATAATAGCTGCGACACGCAAACTGTTATAAATATATAATTCAGCTAATTTCAGTTAGGATGCATTCACTGTAGAATATTACAGAATGATTAAATGAAAATGAATTGCAAGTGACCAAATACTAAGCGGCTATGTAGATAAATACTGCGTTTTTAGGGAAGAGCAAACCAAACAATATTATTCAATAATTTTAATCAACTCATTTAAAACTGAAATCCCACTCACAATATTGCCACTTCTTGACTTTTGACGACGTGTAGTAAATGGTCGATGTCGTCTTCTTTTTGTACGCAATACAGTTTTCCTTCGACGGGCAAGATTTTCATTTGTTGACTCTCTGTTTGTATTGTGCTGGTTTTTTATTCTTGCTGTATATGCTAAAGACTTCTTGATAGAATTGTTGTAATAACGCTTATTGGATACTTGCATTGTACAATCACTGAGACTCTGAAATATATGGAAAAGAAAATGAAGCCATTTGAAATGGACACAAAATATATTTGTATACATAATTAAGCTACTTAATTTAATATTAGTAGTCATAATAAATAACCAAAATTTAAATTCAAAAATGAGTCACTAAATTAGGCAACCAATTAATTTGAAGGGATAGGGCGGATAACCATACAGGAAGGAAATTATTTCGTTAACTGATTACCAAAACGGTAAAAAAATGATACTTTTCTACCCCTAGGGAATCTTTCAAATCTTATAAGAAATCCAGTCAACTATCTCAGAAAGCCTTTCAAGTATTGGTTTGTAGGGATTTGATGGATTGGTTACAGGATTTCATCATGAGCTGACATTGTTTAGAGAACAACATGAAAACCTGGGAGTAATGGACAGCAGTTTCCTGCTAGTTCGTGACTCTTCATCAGTACGTACTCACACTATGGGGTTCGAACCCAGGACTCTCTCAATCAAATCCCTACAAACCAATACCTGAATATCAATGAGATGCTCACCGGCGACTGGCCCTATTCAAGTAAATAGTTACCTGGAGTTCTAGTGGGAAGTCGTGACCAGTAGGGTGCAGCAGGTCGGATGTGAGAATAAATACTCGCCGAAGATATTGGCGAGCGGTTGCGATATGTCGTGAACTAGCCATTGGATCGGGTCCCAGTGGCTCATTGGTATACGAGCTCGCCTTGTAACCAGAAGGTCCTGGGTTCGAGCCCCGCTGAGTACGTACTGATGAAGAGTCCCAAACTGGTATGAAACTGCTGTCCAGTACTCCCAGGTTTACCACTGGTTCCCTAAACTATCTCAGAAAGCATCAGGTTATGGTATGTGGAATACATGAATAATCCTTATCCAGACATTCGTGAAAACAAAACACGTAATTCAGAGACAGTCTCTGTTCACCGGCCAATTCATTCACTTAACCAAGCAATCGTAATTATACATACTTACATTTATATGTATCTGTGTGTGTGTGTACATTAGGTTTGTCCGATATGAATAAAAATGAGTTAGGCTTATTGTTGTCAAGACATTTCAAAACTGCGATGAGTAATCAGACAGTAACTGGGGTGTGGTGGAGTGGGGTGAAGATTGGTGAGAAGGTAGTGGTGATGTGTTGTCAAAAGACATTGTTATTAATGTTATTCAACACACTAAAGAAGTTGAATGAGCGTAATACAGTTACGTAATAATGAGATGAATAGTTTAATGACTGAGTTGTAATTACGATGCACACAGAAACAAAGGAGAATATGGAGTTATTTAAGAGTTCTAAAAGTTACAAATGTTATAGGAAGTTAGAAGAAAAACAAGAAACAAACAAGCACACAAACATCAAGTCAGTAGAAGGTCAACACGGTTGTTGCCATGATAGTAGAAGTGGTTGGATGATTTTCTTTTCTATACATAACTCTGGTTACTCCAGCTGAATGGCCAAGGCTTCAGCAATACAAAGGGGACGAAAGCGTATTGTCTTTTGTAGGTTGTTCTTCACTTAGTAGATCACTTCGAAGGGGGCGTTTGTTGAGATGGAATAACCATTTGCTGTACAGGGAGTGTAATAATGGAAGATTTCGTCAACACCGGTCTTCATCAACACTCCACCGCACCCCACCTCACCACAGTTTTCAAATGTCTTGACAACAATAGCCTTAGCTTATTTTTATTCTTATCGGACAAACCTAATGTATACACATACATACACACAAAATAATTATATATAAATGCGATTGTACAGTTAAGTGAATGAAATGACAGGCGAAAAGAGACTCTTCTCTGAACTATGTGTTTTGTTTTCATAAGCATCTGGAATAGTCGAAGTATTTGCAAATCATTGTCCCGTGAACTGACATCCTTCTACCTTCTTTAGTTAAATTGGCACTGACAATTGTTTTTGATGCGTACAAATCATCAAATGATCATATTATTATTATAATATTATTATTGTTCCCTTGTGTTCCTAGTGGAACATAGAGCTTCAACTACATATCTCCACTTGCTTCTGTCTTCTGCTCTACTTTTCATCTGCGTCCATGTTAGTCCATACTGTTTCAACTCCTCTTCACACGATCTCCTCCATGTCACCCTTGCACTGACGTCCCACTACTCGCCGCTTCCCTTTCCCGTTCCACTCGAGCACTGGCCTGACGCGCGATGTCACACAGCGAGTGGCCTCCTCAGCCAATGAGTGTCCAACCCATCTCCACTTTCTCCTGCATATTTGTTGAGCGATTGGTTCATGTTTTGTTTGTTCCCATAGTTTCTTGTTGGGGATTCTTTCCGGCCGGCCATCTGATCTTCAGTGTAGACCCAGCGAAGACAGTTGTTGATAAAGGTCTGCAACAGGCTGTTGGAAATATTCTTTATGACCCGAGGCCAAGTTTCTGATCTGATCCGTATAGAAGAACTGACTGACTTGACGTTTGTATTGAAAATACCAATCACTTTGTTGTTGATTCTGAGTTGAGTGACGAAGATTTCCAGATTGGTTTCAGGTTGATGACTGTGTTTGTCGCCTTCCCGATTCTCGTCTCGATTTGACATCGTCGTCCGTTCCATGTGCCTGTAGTTGAGACAATGCTCGCTAGATAAGTGAATGAAGTGACCTCTTTCAAATCCCTCCCGTTGATGGTGATAATAGACGAAAATTTTGCCATCGTGTACAAATAAAGCAGATGAGAAATGCTCCTATGCATTACAATTAAAAGTTTCCAGATATGTTGAAACAAATATAAAACTAAACCCTTGAATGTCCAGCATTTAAGTCGTTCTATGTAATTATGATTATCATTAGATTACTTTTTTTGTCAGCAGCAAATGGTGTCTTTAAGTTTTGCCTCTAGTGGGTTGAAAAAAGGACAGAGATTTCAAAGATGAAAGAGAGTAAACAGACATTCCATACTTTCAAATACAAACTGAATCTGTTAACCTTAAACTTTTAAAAATTAATAGAGGCGTATTATGTTATGTATGTCCGAACCAAGTTCACTTTTAACAGTTTGAAAAAAAGTGGGCATTGGATTTATGGTATTCATTATTATAGAGAAGTTTTTAATTTCCCAATAAATTAAAAACAAAACTATATTGTTTCTACTGATGTTCCGCTATTTGATGCTAATAGCTTTATCAGAGCATTGTTAAACTAGAATTTATAATCTCAGCTTATATATAACAAATTAATTATCGGTCATCAACATAGGGTAATTTTTTACTTTGTCAAAACATGTATTTTTATTCCTTTACGTTCCCAGTGGAACATACGGCTTCAAGCTAGAGACTTGAAGCTTCGTTAGCAGTGGTGTTTACTTTTACGGGATGGGGTTACTAGCCTCATGTCCAGCCTTCCCTCCTTATCAGTCTTATTACTGGCTTAGCGAGGTGAAGGAGTGCGTCGACCGTGGATCGGACCCAGGACCCTTGAAGCATGTAGCACACTGCAAAGCAACCTTGTCCATGTAAAAGACCAAGTCCCTAAGGATTCGCAATCTAATTGTGTCTACAAAATAAAATACTTGGAATGCGATGCGATACACATTGGACAAACATCGTGAGAAATCAAGATCAGAAGTGAACACCCTAGCGCATCTGTTCGACTACCGAGAAATCCAGTTAGTGAACTAGAAAAGCTTCAAAAAATCGTTCGCTTCATATCAGAAGAGGTTCATATCAAATGGAATCCAAACTGTCCGAATAGGAATAATGGAATAAAACAGAATTTGACCTGACTACAACATTGCCCCCCTCCATCAAATGACAAAATCAACACGAATGTAATGAGCAATTTCGTCATGGGAACACATGATGTTTTTATAATCTTATTGTTATTATTATTGTTTCCCTCAATTCCTAGAGGAATATAGGGCTTCAGCCGTGCATCTCCACTGCGTTCACTTTTCTGCTAGAGTTTTCACCTGCCTCCAAGTCTGTCCACACGTTCTCATCTCCTCCTCACATGACCTCCTCCAAGTCACCCACCCTCAAACTGACGACCAACTCGCCGCTTCCCGTTCGATCGGGTTCCACTCGAGCAATGGCTTGTCTAGTGATGTCACTTGATGCATTGTTTCCTCAGAGTATGGCCAGCCAATCCATCTCCATTTCTTCCTGCCTATTCGTTTCACAATCGGTTCCTGATGGGTTGGTTCGCTCATTCCCAGAGACCTCTGTTGCTGATCTTTTCTGGCCGGCCATCTGATCTTGAGCGAAGTATTGAGCGAAGACAGCTGTTAATGAAGGTCTGTAGTTTGTTTGAGATGCTCTTTATGACGCGCAGTGCAAGCCTCTGATCCGTATGTTGAGTAGCACTGACTGACTTCACATTGGAGTTGAAAATCCGGATCTTATTTGTGATGCTGATTACTGTTGACCTCCACACAGACTTGAGAGTAGTGAAAGCTTGTCTTGCTTTTCCGACTCTTGCTTTGATATACTCGTCAGTTCCTCCTGTAGTTGAAACGATGCTTCCCAGGTAGGTTCCTCCCATTAATGCTGTCTGTTGTTGTTGCTGCTGTTTGTGTTGCCCAAGAATCTTCATCACCTCTGTTTTCTCTATGTTTACCTGAAGTCCTGTCTTCTCTGGATGCTTCTTCTGCAAACTTACTGCTTTAATTAATTTAAACTAGACATCCTTCACTCATTATAATAAAGGTGTTCTTGTATTCCCCAATGAATGAAAAACAATTATCGTTTTGTTTTTTCAAACTGTTAGATATCCTTCACTGTTAACAATAATCACTTTCTCCAGGATAGTCGTTACAACCGAGATGTGAAGTCCTCCTCTACAGAATTTAGTTTATCGAAAAGGTTTTAAATGGTTAATTCCTTAGAGTGGTTAACCAACTCTACTAAAAGGCATGTTATGTTACATAAATTAACTTGTTTAAACAATCATGTATATACAAACAAAGAAATGTGGAATTGATTTGAAATCAGTATTTAGAAAAAACAATCTTACCCTTTTCAAAGCTAATTCAAGATCTTGATTAGCTAAATCTAAACGTTTCGGTGGTATCCTTGGCCTGGGATGTAGAATTATCTTATCAAATTCATCGTGTGTAGCTTTTCTCATCATCACGGATGATAGATTATTAAAACTATTAAAATATTGATTAGATTCTTTTGAATTTATCTCCGAATTATACTGACTAATAATAGGAGAAGATACTTTTATACCATTCGTGTCATGATTAGCACTGGTATAGTTAGTCTGTAAGGTTAAATTAGCTCCCCATTTCACTCTGGAGGCAATAGATGACGAAGTCAGTGTTGTAGGCGATAGCAGACGATTGCTGTCATAGCATGTATTCCTTGGATAATAATTTGAAGAATAGTTAAGCGGTGATGTTAAAATGCATAGAATTTTATTTTGATCACATCGAATTCGTTGTTTATCAGTGCTACAGTTGTTGTTGTTGTTATTGGCAGAAGTTATGCTGGCTATTGTGTCAGTTGTCGTTGTATCAGTAGGATTATTTGAGGCGGTAACAGTAGAAGGTGTCGAAAGGGTATTATTATTATTACTGTTGTAATTACAAAATTTATCACAAACCGATTGTGCAAAAGAATTCGTGACTATTTCATTAGGATAATAATCTTTTGAAAGAGAATTTCTTTTAAATTTTATCACTAAATGATCTGTTCCACGAAGTCGTGATCTGCGCAGTTTAGCAGCTGCAAGTAGAAAAAATGAAACAGGTAAAAGTTAAATAAGTCATTTTAAGAAATCTTGTTAATAAAAAAAGAAAACCTTACTTTATTTCAGTACTGATGGCTTTTATTCTCATATACACACATGAAATGCACAAACCCTTTTCGTTGTTGATGAAAATCATTTAAGTAACGAAGAGCGAGTGCGTAGGTGATGTGATGTGATGGTAGATTACTTGCCAACTCCAGGTCCGATTCCAGACCGATGCACTCCTAAATCTCAGTAAAGATGGAAGATTGGGTGTGAGACTAGCGACATCAACCCATAAAAACAACAACACCCCTACTGAAACTTCAAATATCAAGCCTAAAGCTTTATACTCCACTTGAAATGCAAAGGAATGAAGAGAATGAACAGTGAAATCCTCTGCTACATTATAAGCTGCACACAAACACACAACATTTTATTTCATTTTGACCGAGTGTAAAGTAATGATAACCAACAGCTAAACCTTTTGGCTGAACACTAGTTGGTAACTAGTGTAATGTATCTAGTCCTCTGTCAATGAAATCCACAACAGTTAGTTTAAGCCACGTAGGAAGATGTAGAGTTCCTGGTTGGGGTCCTCGGGACGGTAAAAACCAATGGTTGGAAACGATTGGTGACATGGCTCAAAATCTTTTTCAATGACTGGCGCAGATGCATCCACTCCTTGTGAATTATGATTTCCAATTAAACTTTTGTTCTCCGTTATTACTATTCCTTTGTCTTACACCTCTGTTTACTGTCTCTAATATGCATTTCTTCTACTTTCTTCTCTTCCTTCGTGTGGTACATGGAGTGTGACGACTTGAACTGCCGCACATATGTGCAAAGTTCTATGTTGAAAACCGACCGACCGACCGAGTCCTCTGTTTGGTGTAAACTGAGTTCTATCAGTCATGTTGGCAATGTGGCCACTATTCTAGGTCGCTCGCCATCATGGTGCACTTTGAATATTTGATATTAGAGGGTTGGAGGCAGTCGGCAGGAAGTCTTGCTTCACCTAGGTTTCGTGTTGACGAGTGCCAACACTAGTAAGTAACTGGTGTCCAATCCAAAGTATCCACTACAGTCCTACAGGAGGCCAACCGCGAGTCCGGGTAGCTCAGTGGTAACGTCTCTGACTGCAGTACTGATCGACATGGGTTCGAATCTCAGAAGGCAAAAGAGTTCCTTCAAAACAGTAGATACGCCCTCCTGACTGGAGTGTGGCAACTAGCACGAAACTTGGCGGGTCACAAAGAATATTTCCAACAGCCTGTTGCAGACCTTTATCAACAGCTGTCTTCGTTCTATACTCAAGATCAGATGGCCAGAAAGAACAAGAACCAACAAGAAACTATGGGAAGAAACAAAACAAGAACCAATCGCCCAACATATATGCAGGAGAAAGTGGAGATGGATTGGACACTCGCTGGGTGACATCGCGCGTCAGTCCAGTGCTTGAGTGGAACCCGAGAGGGAAGCGGCGAGTGGGACGTCAGTGCAAGGGTGACATGGAGGAGATCGTGTGAAGAGGAGTTGAAACAGTATGGACTAACATGGATGCAGGTGAAAAGTAGTGCAGAAGACAGAAGCAAGTGGAGACGTGTAGTTGAAGCCCCATGTTCCACTAGGAACCCAAAGGAACAATAATAATAATAATAATCTCTGCTCAGTGTCACAGGTGAGCAAGTGTTCTCTTACTTGCTTTGATGGAACTCATTGCTTACGACTTTCCACAACAAAATAACTAAAGCTGGAGATGTTAGTACATGATGTGTACAATAGTAAACCTTTCATAAACCTCTTATCAACAGACAGATACATCAGGTTTTAGTATTTCTAAAATAAAATAATTTCTGAAATAAAACATCTACTCTCAATGCACGAAAAGGCAAAAAGAAAACAATCCTTAAAAATGCGTGGGGCCTGACACAACTGTGCCTCCATGTAACTTACTATTTTTTATATTAAAAAAAAGGTAAGAAGAAAACAATAAGGTTAAAATACAGGGTAACAAAAATCACACTGTCAGGAAGTGTGATAAATAAAAGTAACGGAAAAAGACATAAAAAAAGGCATAAGAAGATTTTTGTTCAAAAACCTATTTGATGATAAGACGAAAAAATTATTTTGTAAAAGTGAGAGAGAGAGAGAGTTGAAACTAAATCTTCGACATCAGAAATCCTTAATTATAAAATCTTAGTTATTTGACTGACTACAAAAATAAAAAATCTTCTGATTATGAACATATCGTAGGCTACTACTGTTCAATGGTCACGATTGTCTGTCACGGAATGTAACATCAGTGCTGAGAACTACTTCTGTGCTACTACTCTCACCATAGACAGCAGAATAAATTGACGTAGACAGTGGTTAAGTAGTAATATGTTTTATATATGTGCTCCAGTCTCCTCGTCCGAGGAAGATTCTTAACTTTATCAGTTAATTCAAGACCTTTAAGTTTACATTAAAGCTGAATTATTTAATTCTATTTTAAATTTTCCCGTCGACTGACCGGACGGAAGTGCTCGGTCTCAGGTTTACATGTCATCTTCTTGTGCAGATGCTTCGACGATATCTAGTCATGTAAATTGAAGTCATTACTCACCGGGGAATGCAGGTACATCCGGCTGACGAGTCCAAAGTAGGAAGAAGTGCGCATTCTGGATTCCACTGATAGTCAGCATCTACTCACATAGTGATGCGCTTTTCAACTGTGGTCAACTCATAGTCACGAGGTATCTGTGACAGGAGGCGACTAAGTCCAGCTAAATCGTGCTTAGACTGGATTAAACCAGAATAGACTAATTGAGCCATTTGGCAGAGGCGGGATAGTTTCGCAATGAGACTGAACATCCTAGAAGCCCAACCCCATACAACCAATATAACTCGTGGTAACAGTAAAGAATAGACACCAAAGAAAAATGACCTTGAAACAACCAATCAGATCGTTCAGCATTAAAAATGGATACGGTTCATGAACTTCGCTGCAAGTTTCACCCAGATTTAGTTTTTGACTTTTGTGTGGAAAATGGGTTGATAGGGAGGTCTAAAACCTGCATATGTGGAGGGATAATGACTCTACAAAAGTATTGTCGGGCTATTGACGGCTATGCATTTAGATGCAACCACTGTTTCATGAGGAAATCTGTGCGAGTTGGTAAGTCGTACATTATGGTAATTTTTTAGATACTTTCTTCTCCAAATCCAAATTGTCGCTTAGTAAAATACTGCGTATATGCCACAACTGGCTACTAAAGTGACCAGTATCTGCTACAGCTGCAGAAACGGAGAATACAAAGATTTCAACAGTGCAGTGGTATCAGTACTGCCGTGATGTTGCCTCAGAAAAGATGAATGGGATCACCTCTGTACTCAGGGGAGTTGGCGTCGTAGTGCATATTGACGAAACTGTACTTATTAAGCGAAAAATGAATCGAGGGAGGAGTAGAGCAAATCATGTTTGGGTGCTGGGACTTTACGACACAAATCTTCGTAAAGGCTTTGTGGAACGCATCCCGAACAGAAGTGCTGATGTGTTAATACCAATTATACAACGACTAGTCCTCCCAGGAACTACTATTCACACAGACGAGTGGAAAGGTTATTCTCAACTATATTCACCACAAAGTCAATCATTTTTCTGAACTGGTGGATCCTGTAACAGGAACACATACAAATTCCATTGAAGGATTTTGGGCTCACCTTAAAAAACGTATCAGAATGGTAAACGGTTCCCGATGTGATATGGTATATAGCCATTTAGATGAGTTTTTGTATCGACATTTTTAATATGTCTATAACCACTCCTATGAGAAACTGGGAACAGTTTTTGCAGTATATTAGAGACATTTATCCTGTATAATTCATTTTTATAAATACAGTTTTTTATTAATTTTATGCCACTTTTTAACTGAAAGAATCTGATTGGTTGTTTCAAGGTCATTTTTCTTTGGTGTGAATTCTTTACTGTCGCCTAACTAGTTAACTGTCAGTTAAGCTTTTCAAAGTAGAATTATTTTCCTTTGCACGAACCAGTCTGTCTTCTGTATTCTTTTCAGTGGCCTAGAGGACTAGAAGTTTTCAGTGATCGGCATTAGTATCAGATCGACAAGTCAGCAGTATTATATTAAATCATCACCGAAATAACAGTCGCCCAGTAGGGAAGTTACATCCTTCATCAGGAAACTACGCGCAGCACACCTGATACATTGTATGACACCAATGAACATGCATTTTAGACTCAATTGGCCTAATAATTATACCGTATTATTGATCAACAAAATTCCAACCAGTACTTACGACTGATCAGCTACATTGGTTAGCAAACCAAACACCATTTCTTAAAAATTATTATTTTAAACTTTCATGACACAATTTCATTTAACTGAGCATAAAAACAGAAGTAGCAATTTGTAAAACACTGCCTTCAAAGGACTCTGGATTAAAAATGAAAAGTAAAACGTCTTCCCTTTAGTCAGCAACTTACAAATTCTTGAATAATCCCCACCCAGACATCAATGAAAACAAAACATGTAGTTCAGAGAAGAGTCTCTTTTCGTCAGCCAATTCATTCACTTAGCTGAACAATCGCAATTATATATTTTCAGTAGTTGGTTTGTAAGGATTAGATTTATATTTTTGATTGCACACTAGTCAGTAACTAGTGTAATGCGTCTAGTCCTATCTTCGGTGCAGACTGAATTCTATCAGTCATTTTTGCAATGTGGCTACCATGCTAGGTGGCTCACCATTACGGTGCACTGTGAATTGTTGGTATTAGATGGTTGGAGGCAATCGGCCATAGGAAGCCCTACTTGACCTAGGTTTCGTGCTAGCTGGCACTCATCAGCAAGGCGTATCTGCAACCTTGAAGGAACTGATGAGTGCCAACTAGCACGAAACCTAGGTCAAGTAAGGCTTCCTATGGCCGATTGCCTCCAACCATCTAATACCAACGATTAGATTTATTTTCACGAGTTGATCACGGATTGATATTTACTTATTTTCCTGTGTGTGTGTGTGTGTGTGTGTTTGTGTACGTTAGGTTTCTCCGATAAGAATAAAAATGAGTTAGGGCTATTGTTGTCAAGACATTTGAAAAATGTGATAACTAATCAGACAGTAACTGGGGTGTGGTGGAGTGGGGTGAAGATTGGTGAGAAGGTAGTGGTGATGTGTTGTCAAAAGACATTGTTATTAATGATATTCGACACACAAAAGAAGTTGAATGAGCGTAATACAGTTACGTAATGATGAGATGAATAGTTTAATGACTGAGTTGTGATTAGGATGCACATAGAAACAAAGGAGAATATGAAGTTATGTAACAGTTCTAAAAGTTACAAATGTTATAGGAAGTTAGAAGAAAAACAAGAAACAAACAAGCACACAAACATCAAGTCAGTAGAAGGTCAACACGGTTGTTACCATGGTAGTAGAAGTGGTTGGATGATTTTCTTCTCTATACATAACTCTGGTTCTTCCAGGCGAATGGGGCTAAGACTTCAGAAATACAAAGGACACCAAAGTTTAGTGTCTTTGGTAGGTTGCTCTTCACTTTGTAGATCACTTCGAAGGAGGCGTTTGTTGAGATGAAATAACCATTGGCTGTATAGGCACTGCACTAATGGAACATCTCGTCAACACCGATCTTCATCCCAACGCACTCCAATCCACCTCACCTCACCACGGTTACAATTTGATTACTCATCACAGTTTTCAAATGTCTTCACAACAATAGCCTTAGCTTACTTTTATTCTTATCAGACACAGATACATATAAATATAAGTATAATAAGTAATAATTTGCTTTATTCCAGAAACAGAACTAGTGGTACAGTGTGGAATTTTCAGCACATATCTACAATATTTACATCTAATTTTATCAAACATTTAAAAGGAATATTAAACAAACAAACAAAATAAATCTAAAGACACCAACAAGAAAAAAACACAGGATAAACACAAAATAATTATAAATGCGAAAAAGTACCAAGAAGTAGAAAGGAAAATAAACTACATAAAATAATATCTGAGTATTGGGTAGTGGAAGCTATGATATGATTATGCATGGTGACAGTAAACCTATAGTCATACAAGAAGTTATGAAATGATGTTTAAGAATGTTTATCGCTAAAATGACCAGTTAATTTGATTGAAACAACTCTAAACAATCATAAAATATCATTTCAGGGTTGTTTTGTTTTTTATCGTCAGGTCTAATGCAGTGTTTGTAGTGGTAGTGTGAGTAATCCTGTATAATACAAAATTTTAAGATGGTGACAATGGCGTTCACAACCAATGATTGTCAGTTAATATTGCCGAAAAAAAATTAATAAATAAAAATTATGAAAAAACAACCACAAAACTAATAATTACATGATGGTTAATGTCAGGACAATTTTGTAATACTCATAGTGCTAATAGAGTCGGAACCAGTGGAATATAGTAAAGTACAAAAAAGGAAGCCAATGTTAATATTTTAGGTAGCTAAGTATGTTTAAGAAGGAGTTCACAATAGAATACAAAATAAGAGAGAAATAAAAGAGCCTAAAATTATGTTGCTAATAACAAAGCAAGTCATAGGTTTCACGCTTAACATTGTCTCTGTCACTTGAAACACGGGCCAAGTATGGTATCGTTGAGTTCTTGTACTTGGTTGTACGAGCATAAATTATTTTATACTAATTTCTGGTTTTACTTGATGAGATACAAGGAGAGAGTTGGGAATGGAGAGGGTGTTGGGGGTCGGAGAGTATGGTTTTGGACCATTTTTCGCATGTATTCAGATGCCTTTCAACTAATGTAGTGACGAGCTGACTGTGTTTTACACCACTAGTCCTACTAACTACCTTCAACATCCTTCTCAGGATGGTGTAGGCCTTTTTCAGTAGACCAGGAAAGACTAACGGGGAGCAGTAAAGTAGAATAGTTAAGATATAAGAGTTGACAAATTGTGAAAGTAGAGGTTGGGTGATTCCAGATTGTCTAAGTTTCTTAATGTAGTAGGTAAGACAGAACACTTTCTTAGAAATCAATAGGATAAGTATAATTGGGATTGTTTGGCTAAGTGAATGAATTGGCCGATGAAAAGAGACTCTTCTCTGAACTATGTGTTTTGTTTTCATTAACTTACAGTTTGCCAACTCCACCCGGTATTGTCTTTGTATCATCCAACAGTGTAAACCAGTAAAAACAAGACTTTCCACTGTGTTTACGACATTTTCACTGATGACACTTACTGATCAGTTAAATGCTTCCTAATTCTCATGTGAGCTCACTTGGATTTCACTACCATTACCATTACATATCTAATTTTATCAAAATGTACTATACTTCAGTAGGTAGAAATTAAAAGTTACTTTCAGGTTTTGGAAAGGATTTATGACTCGAGACGATGATTTTGATGGCGCTGTGTTACCCGTCAACATGACTGGAGAAAAACCATTAAAACACTTGTAGACAAATTTATTTTCATATACGGCTGGAGACAAGGTACCGAAAGTGCTGTTGCAACTTCTGTAGAGCTGTTACAGTTGAGCTCGACTGCCTGCAAATAGCCTTCAACCATATAACATCAGATCAAAAAGTGTACTGCCATAGAGAGTTGTCTAGATTGGTGGCCATATGGCAAGCTTCACTGATAGAAGTCACCCAACCCCCAATGACGAATCAATTCTTCCAGAAATTACGGCTGTCTAGGAGGAGGATGTAAGATCCACACATCAACAACAAAAAAACTATTCAAGCGGAAGGGCAGTAACACATGCATATGATATTTACAACTAGAATAAAAATATTGTCTGTATTACTCACGTGAATATTTATTCTGAATAAAATGTGGTGCTATTGAATTACCGCATTCAGAGGATTCTCGACGAACAAAAGCTATACGAATACTTCCTGTTTGACAGTTATCATGGCAACTGTTAACATGATCTCCGTTAACAGTTGTTGTAGGGACAGGTAAACACTGACTATTGGATATGTTGTTCAGCATTAGATCATCATTTTGCTCACAACCACCTTTGTCATCGATCGATAATCCAACCCAGTCTCTTATATAACCATTACAATGCACAGCATCATGACTATCCACTCCTTTATTGTTACCATTATTTTTATTATTATGATTATTATTATTACTACTACTTTTAATATGATTAATATCTGCCATATTATCATTAGGATCACTTGTACAAACATGAGTATGTTCAATCGATTCTTTATTGATTAAATTTGATGATGGTGATGATGATGATGATGATTTGATTAAATTGTTAACATCAATAAATTTTTGGTGTATTGTCAAATTTTTATGATTGTTTGTAGTAGCAAGTGACCAATTGACACGTTTTGGCATAATCAACATTTTCTCTTTACTTATTTGTATTAAAGCATTCATTCGATTGTAGACACCACGATTAACGATTAAAAAGCGGATTTCTTGCTCCCCCTCCTCCTCTCCTTGTTCTTCTGCTTCTTGATCAATCACTGGTGGTGATAATGACGACGACGTCGTGACGACGTTGGTGACGATGATGTAGGCACTACAATACAGAAAAGATTTCTTTTTTTAGGTAGGGAATTATAAATTAATGCATAATGCGATTATTTTTTACTAACAATCTTATGTAATTAAAAAGCAGTGGTAATGTTTGCAGATTCAGACTCAGATGATAAGGACAGAAGGTTCTTGTGGCCTGTGTGTTAATCCTTGCAAAATGTATCTCTGCAGAGATCTAACTTCTCTTTGAAAGCGTTCACCGATGGAGCTGATACTACTACTGAATCAGGTAAGGAGTTCCAGTCGTTGACCACTCTGTGAGAAAATCTAAACTCCAAACGTATTTTATTCGACCTCGGTTTGAGCACTTTCTTCTGGTGAGCCCGTAAATGTATCCTGGAAGTGGGGGGAGTTTAGAAAGGTTAGTTCCTAAATCACTCTTAAGTATACGGTATGCTAAAATTAAGTCGCCTCTCTTCCTTCGGTATGATAACGGGAAGAGATCTAAATGCTCCATCCTCTTATCATAAGGAAGGTGTGAGATACCACTAACTAATTTCGTTCCTACTCTCTGTGCTCTTTCCAGGATATATGCCTCCTTTTTGAAGCATGGACCCACCGCCTGTACGCAGTATTCTAGATGAGGCCTGACATATGTTGCCTAGAGTATTTGGAACATACCCTCGTCTAATCGTTTGAAAGCCCTTCGAAGTGCCCATAGCATTCGAAAATCCTTAACTGCGGCTACATTGCAATTTGCAGTTGTTTTCAAATCACTGCTAACAATGATTCCTAGTTCCTTCTGTTCGTTAACATCAGGTGGTTCTGCATCCCCTAGGGAGTACAACGTATAAGACTTCTGACCTAAGTGCATTACTGCGCTTTTCCTAGAATTCATTTCCAAACTCCACAGGTTCGACCACCTAGCTAATTTATCTAGATCACTTTGTAGAGCCGTCTTATCCTCGTTATTATATACAGCTTTCCAGATCTTAATGTCGTCCTCAAATAATAATGAAGATGAAGTAAGAATCCCCGGTAGTTCATTAACGTATAGTGGGAATAGCAAGGGGCCTAATTCAGTTCCTTGAGGCACTCCACTGGATACTGCTTTCCACCCTGATAGTACACTGTTAACTCTAACCTTCTGCCTTCTATCCATTAGGTAATCCATAAACCACTCGCACAGGCATTGGTCTAGTCCAAAACCTTTAAGTTTACTAAGGAGACCTAAGTGGGATACTTTATCGAATGCCTTGCTAAGATCGATAAAAACCACGTCCAACAGAAGGTTTTTATCTCTAACCTCAACCCAATTTTAGAAGCTAACTACTGTATATCTTCCTGTTATGAGCATTCAAGGGACTAGAACTGACATCACACTTCAGTGATAATAATGATAACGGTCATCGTTATTTATTATACTTATTTATTCCTTTACTTTGCGAATTTGGGCTTTGAAGATTCACTAGCTGTGGTATTGTTTTTATGGATTGAGATCGTTGGTCTCACACATAACCGACCCTTCTTTCAGAGTTTACTAACAGCTAGACGAGGTTTAGGAGGGCATAGCTCAACATGATCAGACTGGGACCACACACGTGAAACACCCACGCAATACTTATTATACAACAGTTCATAAATAAGTAGTATATATGTTGGATTTCAACAATAAATGTTTTGCATTTCCTGAAGATACTGACTGGCTAAAATAACCCCTGTGAGAAATAAGCTAGGCTACAAGTTCAAAAGACGACAGAACTACGATAAATTTTAGTTTTGTCATGAAGTGATATCCATTAAAGTGTCAGGTGGAAGTCTTTTCATCCCACCATAGCATCCTTCACCAGGGTGTATCTGCGAAACCATGAAGGATAGCACACAGTACCTGCTGTTATCCAAAGGAAGGAAGAATAGCTAGTTAGTTCTCTATGGTTTTCAGTGTTTCTCGTGAAAAACTACACCCTGAAGTCAGTCTAATTTCCAAAAACCCTAAATATGAATCTTATAATTTTATTTGTTCAGTAAAAGACTTTACAAATTGATTCATGTAATCTCTCGCCTCGCATGCATCGATGTGGCAACGTGGTGGAACTTTTGTGCATCGGTGGCACAGCTGTTAGGATTCTCGCCTACCAGGGGTTCGATCCCCTCTCGACGCACACCTGAAATCAATGGACGGCCTGCAAAATACGGGCTACAGATATCACATGCTGAAAATTCCATTCTTGTACCAAAATCACGGTGTGAAATCAAGCTATAATCAAAATAAATAAATAAAATAAAATAAATCACATATGTTATGTGACAGTTCATGATACTATGAGGATTCTAAGTTCTAAACAGATGAAGTCGTGTTTGAACTTATGACCAATTATGGTGAGAAATAAATGATCAAATAAATGGGGCCCACCCTAAAAGAACAAACTAATTCTACCTTAATCCAATTTCTCTATCAGCTTTAATCATCATTCTGACCAGCAGTCAGACAGTGTTTTTCTCTAAACCTTCTCATTTTCAAATAGTTGTGAAATTGAATAAAAAAAGCGAATTCACAATCTACAATGATGATAAATGTATCATGACTTGCTTGACATTTGCTAAACAGTTAGAGAGTGAAATGAAACTGATACTTAAATAAGTCGTTAGTTAACACTAAGACCTCATGACTCAAATGTCAGGTAACCATACTTTGATTGGACACTAGTAACTAGTGTAATGTGTCTAGTCCTCTACTTGGTACAGACTGAATTCTATCAGTCGGGTTTGCAATATGGTCACCATTCTAGGTAGCTAGACATCACGGTGCACATTGATTTGATGATATTAGATGGTTGGAGGCAATCAGCAGGAAGCCTTACTTCACCTAGGTTTCGTGATAGCTGGTACTCACTAGTCAGCAAGGCGTATCTGCAACCTTGAAGGAACTCATGTCCCTTATGGGATTCGAACCCATGTCGATCAGTACTGCAGTCAGAGACGTTACCACTGAGCTACCCTGACTCGCGGTTGACCTCATGTAGGACTTTAGTGGATACTTTTGATTGGATACCAGTTACTAACTAGTGTAGTATGTCTAATCCTTTCTTGGATGTAGACCGTGAAAGGTAAACAAGTGGTAATTATATTAAAATCTATTGACCTTAAAGAATATCCCCTAAGGGTCAAAACTATTAAAGAGTATTTTCAAAGGTGATTAGTTTGAATTCTTTTGAGAGTCAGAAATATTTTCCACTCCAAGTCTGTATCCTTGTATAATATAATAATTATATAAATTTTCCAGACAGTTTGTTTGAAACTACCCGAGATAGATATTCTAATGTATTCTAATGAATTAAGCACATTCTGTCAAACATTTGTTGTATAGAGAAAATGAATACCATTTTGTCTAGGTAGTACAATATAATCACTCAATCATGAAAAAAAGCATAGATCAATAATGTATACTCTTATATATATAGTATAAAACTTTGTTAATCAAATTGTCACTTGAGCAAAATTATTCAAGTTCAGATCTCCTGTATACACTTGTGTGTATAGTATTTTTTAATATATTTATGCGTTGAAGTTTCGGTAGCAATTTGGTTAAGTTTTGGGGTGGAGTTGCTAGCATAACGCCCCGACCCTCCCTCTTTATCGGGGCTTGGGACCGGCTAGAAAACTAGCGAGCTAGTTATCTATCTAGGCGAGGCGAATATTTCCAACAGGGGTTGCAGACCTTTATCAACAACTGTCTTCGTTCTATACTGAAGATCAGATGGCCGGAAAGAATCACCAACAAGAAACTATGGGAACAAATATGCAGGAGAAAGTGTAGATGGATTGGACACTCGCCGAGGAGGCCGCTGGGTGACATCGTGCGCCAGGCCAGTGCTCGAGTGGAACCCGAAAGGGAAGCGACAAGTGGGCGTTCAAGGGTGACATAGAGGAGATCGTGTGAAGAAGAGTTGAAACAGTATGGAATAACATGGATGCAGGTGGAAAGTACAGCAGAAGACAGAAGCAAGTGGAGACGTGCAGTTGAAGCCCTATGTTCCACTAGGAACCCAAGGGAACAATAATAATAATGATATAATGTGTATAGTCCTGAAAAACAAACACAGCTGAGTTCACACAACCATCTGTTACACGATATTTAATTCCACAGTAAAACTTCATTAGAAAACAGACTCGCTTATCACTCAATTATAAAATGATTAAAAAAACTGTGAAAACTTATTACGAATACATAAGCTAATAAAATAATTCACTTTAAGTTATTAAATAAGCCTAAACAGATGGTATTTTCAATAAAAAAAATTTTTTTTAATTAAGTGATGAAAAGAGCCGCTTTTGAAGAATCCACTTCAGTTAGCTTATGAAATGACCAGATTAAAAGTGTTTAAGTAATGATTTGTAGTTGTTAGTTAGTGAATTCAAGACATCCCGTGGAGATTTCAGCTGATAGAAACTGTAAGACTTAAACTGGAAAAGAAAACCACACAAGTTTATTCTAGATATCACTGTTAAATATCATTGTATATATATATACAAATTGACATGTATCTGCGGGAGCAGTTACATTGGAAGAACAGAAAGAAGAAGGGCATATTTGTACGATTTTCTGAACATGTACCAAAAAGCTTACGTCTAAAGGGAACAAATGCTTTAAACAGTACCATCGCCAGGCATCTCCTTGACACGGGTCATGAAGTGGACGTCGAAAAGTCGTTCAAAATTATCAATAAGTAAAAGAGATCAATTCTCCTTAAGTTTGCTGAAGCCATTTCCACAAGCGCCTAAAACCTGATTTGTGCGTTCAGAAAGAAGCGGTTATCAGTCTTTCTTTGCCCTGGTAACTGGATATTTTTCATCCGAATGCGAGATGCTGAAAAGTTTTCATTGTGCATGATTATTAT